CTCCTCCTCCTCCTCCTCCTCCTCCTCCTCCTCGTAAAAATAATGAGAGGTTAGTTGGATGCGGAGCTCGCTCCCGGAATGGGGGGATAGGGGCGTTCCCGGGGTTTCTGTGGATCCCGGGAGTGTCTTCGGGAGCTCGAGCCGTGGGGAGTGTGGAGATAGGTGTGACCACGGCCAGATGGAGGATGACAAGGGGGCAGGACGGGGAGGACGCTCCTCTCCACACCTTGGCTGTGCCACCGCGTGTGTCCGCTCTTTCCTCGGCCTCCTCGCCCTTCGCCCCCCCCCCCCCCCCTCTCCTCGAGAGTGATCACATCCGTCCCTGGGCTGACGTTGTGGGGTTGCTGCCGGCCGCCTGTTGGGCCCCGCAGCTGTCCACTAACGGGACTGAGCCCGCAGTCCAGACATGCCACCTCGCTGGGAGGTCACCAACCAACCGAATCCATCCCCTCCCCCGCCTTCTGACTTTCGAATCCGCCTCCTCCTCCGCCTTCTGCTCTTCAACCCTCCCATCCTCGTCCTCCCTCTCTATCCTCCCAGTCCCCGCCCTCTTTGCCCTCCCGCGCCCCCACCGCCCCCTCTCCCGCCTCGTCCACGACCCCCTCGCCCTCCTTCCTTCCAGGAGGGAAGACAACACAGAGACACACCGCATCGTCGATTCCCAGGAAAGTGTGGAACACTTGGGAAGTGTAGGGGAAGACGACCATCAGGGAGCTACAGAAAGTGCAGGGACATTTGGGGACTTTGTGTCTACTTGTTTGTGTTCCCCTGGGCCCCCCACCAAACCCCAGGCAGGCACGCAGGCAACAGCTGCAGCGGCAGGAGCAGCGGGAGCTCCCGAGGGGGCGTTTCCGGGGGGGGAGGGGGGGGGGTCGATCCCAGACCCCCGCTTGCGCCGCGAGAGAAGGCACTGCTGGTTTACGGTCGGACCGAGGTATGAGATCGAGGTCGGATCGGGGAGGGTACCTTCGTGGTCTTGATGCTTGTTGGATGCTCTCGTGCATCCTGGGGGGAGGGTACCCTCGAGTGTTCTTCGGTTTGGGCTGCGAAGTGTCTCATACTTGCAAAGCCTTCCTACTTCATGCTTCTGCCCACTTCTTCCGACCGACGGGTTACTGCTGCCCGCCTCTGGGGGCGCGCTGCCTCGCCCCAGGACCATCACGACACGATCGGATGCAGCTCCTCGGAGGTGAGCTTCAGCATCTGCGCTCGTATATCCGTGGCCGGAGATGCGCCAAATCAGGCAGAATCCCATGACATCCAGCCGCATCTGGGCCCAATCCTGGGCCCATCCGTGCCAATCTGGCTGAATGGTATCTTCATCTGGCCCAGTCGTCCTTCATCGTTCTAGCGAGGACTTCCCAGGAGCTGCGACTGCGACCTAAGCGTTGCTTCAGGATGCAGCCCCTGCCCCCGGGAGGGGGTCCAGATTTCAGGGGGCCCCTGCAGCAGAGGGCGCGCGCCGCCGCGCCGGCTCCGGCTGGCCCGCAGGAGAACAACGGAGAGTACAGCAAGGTCTGCCCGCGCGCAAGCGAGCTGATAGGACGGTGCTCAATTGACCTCTTCACCGATCCTGGCCAGACCCACTTCAGGCGGGGTCAGGACGAGGATACTTACATCCGTGCCAGAGCGTTCGGGAACACTCTCGGATTGTGTCTGGAACGCTCCGAGAGTACCGTGGCGCCTGAGATATCTTCCAGAGCCGCGGGATCTCAGAGCTCCCCGATTTGTCCGCGTCTGGATTTCTCCTCGTCCTGGATTCCTCTCGCCCCTCCTGGGCCCCGGATGACATCGGGCATGTCCTTCCTACAGGAGGGATATTCAAACATTTTCATAACATAGTCTTGGACGATTTAAAATAATTCGTGGCTATCTTCAAGTACTGTTTGACTATTCTATGCTTTTCCTCCAAACTCCGCCTGTAGGAGGACATGCCCGACCCAAGCCCAGGAATGTCGGGGGTGGACAGACCTCCTACCCTGACACGTCGATGAAGGAATTGGCCGTTTTCGGTTCGCGAGAGGGCGTCGCGGCCGTCATTCTTGCGGGTCCGGGTCCGCCGGTTTCGGCCGCGGGCCGTTTTTACTGAGGGGTGTTTATTAAAGGGAGGTTTGTCCACCGCCGAGAATTGTCAGGAGGGGAAGATCACACACACACACACACACGCACAACCGCGATCAGCTACAATTAGTCGTCGGCTCCTAGGAGCACCTAAGACTGGCGAAGGGCCTTTTTCACTAAGGAGGAGGAGGAGGAGGAGGAGGAGGAGGAGGAGGAGGAGGAGGAGGAGGTGTGGAGGAGGTGTGGAGGAGGAGGAGGAGGAGGAGGAGGAGGAGGAGGAGGAGGACGATCTACCTGGATGTATCTCGACTCATTTGTATTTGCCCAGATCTATCTGGCTCGATCCCCGCAAGTCGATCGGCGAGGAGTCGTCAAGCCCTGATTGCCTGGTGCAGGGTCCCCCAGCAGCGGCGTGGCGCTTGGATTTCCCCCCCCCCCCCCGCCGCCCACCACAGCAGCGCAGCAAAGGTCACGCGCTCCTAGAGTCACGTCGCTCTGGCGTGTGTGGCCGAAGTCGACTTCCCCCGAAGAGTGACCCCTGCGCTCGCACGGACCCCCCGCCGCCCCCCAAAGTCGCGCACCAGAGGTTCCTCCTTTGCCCCGAGTCCAAGTCTCCCTGGCGTGTACCCGAAGCTGACGTCCGCTAGAACGGGCCGGTTTCAGTCGGGCCTGTCCTTCTGCAGGAGGAAAATTCAAAAGTTGTGAAAATATAGTCATGGGACAATTTTTTAACCATTTTTGAGTATTCTAGGGCATTGTTTAAGCTATTTGTAATTGTTCGTCCAAAATCGACCTGTGGGGGCACGGGTCCGACTGAAAGGCAGGGCCCGTGATGATCCGACCGATCGGCGAGAGTGCTCGGCAGTTTCCGATGACTCTCCGCGGTTTTCTCGATTTGGAGTGCTCTCTGGCAGCTGCGCCTCGCCGAGGGTGTTCCGGCGGTGCCCGGACAGTGCTGAAGGGCCACCAGAGGCCCGACCTGCGACCCGAAGACCGCCAGGTGTCCCGCAGGGCCCGTTTGGATCCTCTCGATCCGCTTGGGTCTCGATTCTGGCTAGCCCGCTCCGCTTCGATCTCGTCCATGTTCCGACGGCCCGATGCGGCCCGATGCCTGCATGGCTCTCTTGCCTTGAGTCGGGCCTGTCCCTCTACAGGAGGAATATTCGAAAATAGTCAAAAAATAGTCTGGGGGCCATCTTTGGACTATTTTTGAGCATTTTCGGAGCATTTGTTGAATACTTTTTTCGCCCAACATGCCCCTGTAGGGGGACAGGCCCGACCTAACTCTTGCGCGGCTGGTCCGATTCCGTTTCGGCTCCGTCGGGAGCCTTGAGACGGGGGTCAATGCAAACGGGGGTCACTTAGGGCACCAGATCCTGCAGGATCCTGCGAAGACTCCCTCTGGCTGACCCGGGTCAGCGAGCCGCTCGTGGCCGCGAGGCGGCCGCGCATATTGGCTGACCCGGGTTTGCGAAGACCTGCGTTGCAGAATTTGTTGTCCTGCATTGCAGTTTTGTGGTTTCCTGCTGACCCGGGTCTGGATCGACCCGGGTCAGAAGATCCCCGACCCCTTCAGATTGTGAGCGCGTGGATCGGCGACGGGCCCCGTTCTTGTCAGAAGATCCCCGACTCCGTTCCGGGGCCGTTTGGTTCGACGCACGCTCCGATGCGGCCCGGTGTCCCGAGCCACGGTGCCCGTGGCTCCCGAAGAGGCCGCGCGTCGAGGAGCAGTCCCGCCTGGTGGTGGCAGGTGCACGGCGGGCGGCCTCCTCCCTCCTCCCTCCTCCCTCCTCCCTCCTCCCTCCTCCTCCTCCCTCCTCCCTCCTCCCTCCTCCCTCCTCCTCCTCCTCCTCCTCCTCCTTTTCTCCTCCTCTCTCCTCCTCTGCCCTCCCTCCTCCTCATCTTGCCCCTCCTCCTCCTCCTCCTCCTCCTCCTCCTCCTCCTCCTCCTCCTCCTCCTCCTCCGGTCGACTCGGAGACGGCCGACAGCGAGCGATGTGCGCCAGCGCAGAGCCGATGGCTCCATCGGAGGAGGGCCAGTCGAGAGACAGCGGCCGCTTTCCTCAGGCAGTGGCGAAGCGTCTTGGCTCGCCTATATTCGCCTACCAAACAATGTTCTGAGAACCTTTGGTGGTTTCCACGAAACGTTCTTAGAACATGTCGGGTTGAGATTCCATTGGTTGAACACATCGGGATTCTGTTCTAAGAACATTGTTCTTGTTCTTAAAACATTGTGGGTTCTAAGAGAATTTCGTGGCAAGACTATAGGAATGCCGGGGCGGTCGGTCCCTGGTCAATTTCCCGCCCAGAGCCCAGGTCCGCTCAAGAGATCTGTCCCTGGACTGGGGCCCTTCCTGGCCCGTTGTCCGAGGCGGGCCCAGCCGTGGCAGCGATGGCAGGTCTGGAGGAGGCCCCGAGAGGACGATAGACACGGCACCGTGGATCGGCGGCGAGCGAGGGGAGGAAGTGAGAAGGGGCGAGCCCTTCTCAGAAGTCTCGGAGCCCCCCGACCTCCTGAGAAGTGTTCGGAGCCTCCCCCGGAGAGACAAGGCCTGTCCGACGGCGCGAGGGCCTCCGAAGGGTTCCGCCTCCTCCTTCTCGCTTCCCCCCTCGCCTTGGGGGGGGGCGACACTGGCAGACCGCCCCCGAGACCTCCCCACGATCCGGGCGCGAAGGCCACAAAGTTGCACCTCTCCGTGGCTGCTCCCCTTCGGGGCGCCCAGGTGCCCCGTCCTGGTTTCTCGCGTGAACTTGGCATCGCTCGGACGTGTGCATTCTTCCTTCGGCGAGGACCGTCGAGGGGCATCCTCGACCATCTGGCGAAAAAAAACCACGCACGAAACCGAAACAAAACACAGGACATGGACGTCCGAGCGATGCCCGGTGAATCGTGGAACAGAACATGAGAGATGCTGGGGAGGGGGGCGAAACCAGCAAACCGCGCAAGACATCCCTGCGAGTTGGGCGCGAACAGTGGAGTGGACACACACACACACACACACACACACACACACACACGCACACACACCTGGCGGCTCCCCATTGAGGTGCCCAAGTGCCACGCCTGCGTTGTCGCGGTGAGCAGTGGACCACAAAACGAGATATGCTTGGGGGGCGAAACAAGCAAGTCGCTTGGACAGTGGACCACAAAACAAAACATGCCTGGGGCGGGGGTGGGGGGCGAAGCAAGCACACCGCCTGAGACATCGCCGCGATCTGGGCGCGAAGGATGAAGTACACACACACACACACCTGGCGGCTCCCCTTTGTGGCACCCAAGTGCCGCGCCTGCTTTGTCGTGGTGAACCGTGGACCACAAAAAGCTGGGTGGGGGGAGGGGGACGGGGGAAACAAACGAACCGCCTGAGAGAACCCCGCACTCAAGGCGCTAAAAAAGAAGTGTGCACTGGCCCCCCTTGCGGCGCCCAAGTGCTGCGCCTGCTTTCTCGCGGTGAACCGTGGACCCCAAAAGGGAAGCGTCTGGGGGGGGGCGAAACAAGCAAACCGCCTGAGACATCCTCCCAATCTGGGCGCGAAACACAACCGCACACAACGCTGGCGGATCCCCCTTGGGGTGCCCAAGTGCCACGCTTGCTTTGTCGCGGCGGACGTTGGACCACAAACTAAAAGATGCTTGGGGGAGGTCGAAACAGGCAAACCGCCTGTACCACCCCCGCAATCTGTGTGCGAAGAATGAAGTGCACACACCACTGGCGGCTCCCCGTTGGGGTGCCCAAGTGCCACGCCTGCGTTGTCGCGGTGAGCAGTGGGCCACAAAACGAGAGACGCTTGGAGAAAAGGGCGAACCGAGCAAACCGCTTGAGGCATCCACACAACCTGGGCGCGAATAGTGAAGTGCGCACACCCCTGGCGGCTTACCTTTGGGGGGCCCAAGTGCCACGCTTGCGTTGTCGCGGTGAGCAGTGGACCACAAAACGAGATATGCTTAGGGGCGGAACAAGCAAGTCGCTTGAGGCATCCTCACAATCTGGGCGCGAAGAATGAAGTGCACACACCGCTGGCGGCTCCCCCCTGGGGTGCCCAAGTGCCACGCTTGCTGTGTCGCGGTGAACTGGAGCACAAACAGAGAGAATCTGGAGGGGGCGAAACAAGCAAATCGCCGGAGGCATCGCGACAAAATTTGGGCGCGAAAAATGCAGTGCACGCACCACTGGCGGCTCCCCGTTGGGGTGCCCAAGTGCCACGCTTGCTTTGTCGCGGTGAACAGTGGGCCACAAACCAAGAGGGGCCCCGGGTTGGGGGGGGGAGGGGGGGGGGGGGGGGGGGGCGAACCGAGCAAACCGCTTGAGGCATCCACACAACCTGGGCGCGAATAGTGAAGTGCGCACACCACTGGCGGCCTCCCCCTTGGGGGGTGCCCAAGAGCCACGCCTGCGATATGAAGGTCGGCATTGGACCACCAAAATAGAGAAGTCTTGGGAGCCGACAAGAGCAAAACGCCCGAGACATCCCCACAATCTGGGCGCGAACAACGAAATACTAACATCCCTGGCAGCTCCCCCTGTGATGCAACAGCGTCTCGTCTGAGACATCTTGCCAATCTGCGAGTCTGAGGGCGCCCGAGCCTGAATGGGCCTGTGCGTATGAGTATGTGTGCGAGTGAGTCTGAATGCAAGTAAGTCTGATCGTGAGTACCCTAAGCGTGACTATACCCTTTGGCGTCTCCCCTTTGTGAGTTTTGAGGTGAGTCTGAGTGTGAGTGAGTATGAGTGCTGATTAGTAAGTCTTAGTGAGTCTGAGTGTGAGTGAGTCCGAGAGCTTATGAGTAAGTCTCCGTATGAGGGAGTCTGAGTATGAGTGAGTCTGAATATGAGGAGGAAGAGGGAGGAATGTGAGTGATGAGTGAAGCGGAGGCGTCTGAATGATAACAATAATCGCATCTCAGGATTGGGGAGGACATGGGCTCTAGGGAAAGGGCGGGGCGAAATTTGCTGCGTTCAGCCGGCTTCGACTCGCCGCCGGGCGCCTTCTTTTTTTACAGTTTCGCGCTGCGTGCCCTGAGAGCCGACGCCACGAAACAGATTCCATCCAAGACATCACGACCAGAGCCCTGGACCCCGTCCTTCTGTTGCCTTTTTCGAGCCAGGTCGATCTGTGCTGGCCCTTTCCCTAGAGCCCATTTCCTCGCGAAGCCCACCGGATCGTGGCGAAGCCCTAGACCCCATCCTCCTGTTGCCTGTTTTCGAGCCGGGTCGATCTGTGCGGGCCCCAGCGCCACCGGATCGTGGCGGAGTCCGCGCGGGTGCGAAGAGAAGCAACGCTCGCATCTCAGGCTGAGCTGCTTCGCTGCCCCCTCCTCTTTGCGGTCCCCCTTTCCGCCCCCTTCGGATGCCTGTGCAGGGCTGGGCCCAAACGGCGCTTTGGCGATTCCGTGGGCCGTTTTCGGTTCGACTTCGCTCTGCGGCAGAGGCGGATGGAA